GGAGAACCAGGGAGGCATTGAGGGGGGAATGGATCGGAGCCGGTGGAGGGCGGAGAACCAGGGAGGCATTGAGGGGGAAATGGATCCCGTTCAGTGGAAGGCGGAGAACCACGGAGGCATTAAGGGGGGGTTCCCGACGCGGGACGGGCGCCCACTGGCAGGCAGTCAGTACTCATGTCCATCATCGCTGAGGCTACAGTCCTTCACCGGACAGCTGTACGACGGGGGGCGAGGTGCACCGATCCATGTCCCGACAGCCCCCCTCCCCTCTTCGCACTCTCATGCTGACGCAGTGGGGCAACATGCCCGGTCCCATGTTCGGCCACCTTCGGCCAGTATGCCTCTTGGAGGTGGTCACATGGGACACATGGCGTGGGCAGTGCACATATGTTGCCGGTGGGAAGTGGGTTCAGCTTCGCTGCTCACGTGTTCCCCGCGCAGCAGACGTTTGATAGGGGGAGCGCAATGCGCAATGATCGCCCTTGGTCCCCGCAATCCGGCCAGACTTCCCAGTCGTCGCATGCCATGTACTCCATCACCACCACTCTGTCCAGCAGGCGATCGCCTTCCACTCCCGGTCCTTCCACTGTGGACAATGCATGGACGCCGCATTGCGGGACTTCTGTCCCATCGGGGTTCGACAGCGATGCCACAAATGGCTACGATGGTCAAGCGTGCTAGAATATGGAGGATGACACCGGTAATGGAGATGGAGATGATGTTGACAACAAGAATGGCGATGGAGGCGCTGTTCCAGAAACGGACAAGGCTGGTGATTCCAATGAGAGAAACGATGGCAGACGTGGGCAGAAAAAAGGCAGGAACGACGCACCGAAAAACAAAAAACAAAACCTGGCGTGGACGTTGGAGGAGAGTATATGGCTGGCAAAGATGATGGGGGAGGACGACGCGCTTATGGCTGATGCAGATGGACAGGATCAGTTCATGAATAGGAAGGAGCGGTATGCGTGGGTGGCCGATCGCATGGCATCCAGCGGTTTTCCTCAGA